CAATAAAATAAAAAAGGCAGAGGGGCATCTGTGGCTAAGTGAGCAGGGCTCCAGCCCCATACACTGAGGGTGGTGGGTTCGAACCTGGCCCCAGCCAAACTGCAATAAAAAAATAGCCGGGCATTGTGGTGGGCACCTGTAGTCCCAGCTACTTGGGAGGCTGAGGCAAGATAATTGCGTAAGCTCAAAGCTGGAGGTTGCTATGAGCCGTGAAGCCATAGCACTCTACTGAGAGCGACAAAGGGAGATTCTGTCTCTAAAAAAGTAAAATAAAATAAAGGGGTGAAGGTGAGAATGTAAGTCAAGTGTTTTCATGATTAACTATCAGGGCCAGATATGGGCAGCTGGGCAGTGGAGGCTGCTTCTCCCTCTCCCTAAAGCCGTTTCTCAGCCAGCACCTGACCCAGGTCTCTGCCCCCTTCAGCCACCGTCTTGCCCTCATCACGGGTGTGGGCGAGGGTTGTAGGTGCTGCACCCGCCATGGTTGCTGCTCAGCTGCAGCAATTCATCCCTCCTTGTTGCTGTTGTCTCCCTCAGCTACTAGAGCCGCGATTCTCACAACCCACAGGAACTGTATTAAAGGGCCACGGCATTAAGAAGGTTGAGAATCACTTTACTAGAGCTTCCCGTTTGACAAGGAGGACGGTGGCAGGGAGGATGAGGAAAACCCAGACAAAGATGCCTCTGACTCAGAGGTCAAGGCGTCAAGCCTTAGCAGAATGGACTTACTAGGATGTGCCAGCATTGAGGCTAAATCAGAAGATAGCCAAAAACACAAACAGGTGCACCTATCAGAAAGCAGCCTGACACCACGGGGGTGTGGTCTGTTGGCAAAGATCCTAAGCGGCTACAGCAGAAAGCTCCAGAGGAATTAAATCAACAGCTAGAAAAAAGAAATGGAAGACTGTGAAAAAAAAGAGAATCACTGAAGAAAGGGATAGGTTCAGAAAAAGAATCAGCAGAAAAGAAAAAAAATAATAAACGGAGGACAAAGCATAGGAACTAGAGAAAGGGATTTGCAAGAAAAAGCAAAAGAAAAATATAAAGAATGATTAAAGAAAGAAATCCTGAAGAATGTGAGGAAAAGAAGAGGAAAAAGAAAAATGATGGCAAGCTGAATTACACGAGAAAAAGGAAATAGGGAAATAGCAGGGAAAAAGTTTAAGGAGTGGTTGAAAAATGCAAAAAATAAACCATGTCCACCTGCAAAGAACTATGGTTATACCACTGGAAAACTTCCAGGTTTTTACAGTGGAAATTCCTATCTAGAACCAGCCTTTTATGATCCAACTTCATGGAAACCAGTTCATACACCCCCCTCCCAGAAAACCTAAGGATCTATCAGGAGAAAAGGATAGAAAGACCTGTGACACACAAATTATTTATTGCTCATAATCATGAGTTAGGTACAATTAATATTATTACCCCTACTTTACCCAGAAGTCAGTGTGGACCTTGGGTCTGACTGCGTGGGTTCAAATCTCAGCTATAGTAAGAATGTTTTCCCTTTTAAGCCTCTGTGACTTGACATAAAGTAATGTTAATAACACTCCTTAGAGTTGTGAGGGAAGGGATGTAATATATGCAAACTCTTCAGGGTCTCAGGTAGCATAGACTGTCCTCAGGTCTCCACATGAAAGTCTGCTTTTCTACTGTTCACTGATTCTTGTTTTCAATCCTGAATCCTCTCTGTTCTCTTTTCTTTTTCTTATATAAGGAGCGATAATCTGCAAGCAAGGAAGTCTATTAGCTTTATTGGTCCAGGAAAAGCAACTCAAGCAAAAGGATATGCTGGTGCAAATCAAAGCAGAATGGTGATGTCAAAAACCATGATCCTTCCACCAGAACTGAGGACAGAAAAAATGAATATTTCCAGCATAAAGACGGTTCAGGTAATAGGCTTTCAAAATCTGAGTTTATTTGAAATGACATTGCAAAACCTGATTGAAATAAAAGATAGAAAATATGCTGCTTTCAAATAATAATTGTTAATTGTGACATACTGACTTTGGTAGAGGTTTTACCACATCCCATTCCAATCAACATAATACTGGCAGTTGGGCACTGTCACTGGTTTTCAATAATAAGAACATTACGTGGAAGGAGGAACGTCTACTCCTGACTTAAGAACTAGCTACTCGTGGTATTGACTGCAGCTAATACCCTGCAGCTACCGTCCATTCTCAGCAATGTGCCCTTGAAAACGCCATGAAATTAATTGTCATCAAGTCAGTTATTTTGTCTCATTAGAAAACTATAATTAAGGATTGACTATTAAACATTTCGTTAAAGTATTATATATGTATACAAAGCATATAATAGATAGCTGAATGGGTTAAGCATTTTTTTAGGTAGGACATTGAAAGCACAGCCCATAAAAGATAAAACTGGTAAACTGGACTTCGTCAGAAAGCTTTACCCTTTGAAAGACAGGGCTAACAGGAGGAAAGTGACACGCTGGGAACGATCATTTACAAAAGCACACTCTGATAAAGCACTGTGACTAAATGTGTGATTAACCCTCACAACAAGGTTAAGACAGCGCAATTTTAAAAACAAACTACTCAAACAGCCCTTTACTACAGTTGATATGCATATGGTGTATGAGCACATGAAAAGATGACCAGTTTTAGTCATTAAGGAAATGCAAAATCATGAAACACTACTGAATACTTACTGCAGTAGCTGAAATTAAGAAAAGAGTGACCACACCGAGTATTGGTAAGTATGGGGAAGAACTAGGGACTAGGGTCTTGATACATTGCTGTAGACACCCACACACAGAAGCAAGTTACACCTACAGTATCACCGACCTCTTTCACTTCTAGGTATTTACCAAGAGAAAAGAAACTCTGTTTAAACAAACACTAGTACTTGAATGTTTATAGCAACTTTACTTATGATGGCCCCAAAGTAAAACAACTCTAATGTAATTTTAGTAAGCAAACACTATGTATTTGTACATATTTAAT